TGGATTCAATGGATGCTTTTCGACTACTACAAGGAGGCAAGATGAACCGAGGAAGCTCGTCTCAATTACAGCACATATACAAGCTGCTTAATTAGAGGTAATTGGAATGTCAAAGTTCAGCATATAAGACCAAAGGGAAACAGATTAGCCGACGTGATGGCAAAAAAATGCTAACGAGGAAGATTTTGAAGTTCGCCTGTATAACTCCCCACCAGCGGAGGTTTTGCAGCTACTTCAGGAGGAGCAGTGTTTTGAAAATCGGATCGGACCGGTCGGTTCTTAAACCGCTACTAGTGAACAGGAAGGAACCGCTGAACCGGTTGTGAACCGTTTGAACCGGACCGGACCATGAACCGGTTGAAAATCGGTTTTGTTTTTTTTTCTAAAAAAATTAAATCAAACGACGTCGTTTGTTAAATTAGCCGAGACGAACTCGAGTATTGCTGAGCTCGACTCATACTCGAAAACTTTAAAAGTAAGCTCAACTCAACTCAAAAACTCACGAGCTAAAAATTATCAAGTTCAACTCGAACTCGAAATATAATATTGAAACTTGAACTAAAAAAAATTAGAAGCTCGATTGAAGCCTGAAATTCGAGCTCGATTGAAACGAAAGAATAATTCGCTCTGTGCTCACCAAAATGCTCTATGATTTTGAATGCCAATTACCTCTATTATTTATAGAAGTCAGTTGGGATGCTCTTCTATGTTTCTTAGTCATGTGAGATTTTTTTGTTTTCATATTTTTACTCTTTAGAATTTTGTGATGCTCTTCTATGTTTCTTAGCCATGTGAGATTTTTTTAAAAAAATAAACTAAACGACATCGTTTGTTATGATTTTTTTAGCCCCAAATTTATTTTTTGATTATAATTATATAATTATATTTATTATTTAATATGTTTTACCATAAATATTATGTTGTAGTTAATTTGAATCATTTTGTTTCACTTGATTTTATGGTTTTTAACTTATATATGTTATAATTTGCTTTGAATATAACTTGTGATATAAAAATTATTTTTTATTAAATGTTTTTTATATTTTTATTTAATTTTTTAAATAATTAATTAATTATGACGTCGTCCGGTTCCTCCGATCGATTTGACCGGTTCTATCGGTTGAACCAATGAACCGATAAATCGATCCGGTTCACTGACCGATCCGATTCACTGACCGATCCGGTTCGCTCTGACTCTGAAAACCATGAGAAGGAGTCCACGACTTCATGCAAGTTTAATTAAGTTTGTTTTCCCCCTTTTTTACTAAAAAAAAGCGTAAAAAAAGCTTTTTTCTTCTCTAATGTACCTTTATTCATACTCTTTTAGTATAATTACACCATTCGTTTTTATATTCTTAATTTAATCAAATTTCATTATGTTTGATCAACTTCAGTTTTTATATATTTTAAAATTTAAAATTTTAGATATAACCTAAATTCTAATTTATTTCATATTCTAATGTACCTTTTAAGTTGACCAGATATTAAGTTTATTTATTTTCATATATTTTATTCTTATAAGGTAGTGACACTTATCATCATTTTATTGATCAATATAATTAATTTAAAATACCATGAAATTGTTAATTTAAAAATAAATATCATGTCAATATTAAAAATTAAAATATCATATTAACATTATGTTAACTTTTTAATGTCAATTAAAAAAATAAAACATTATATTAAGTATATATTTTTAAAAAAAATAATAATTATGTAATAAATTATTGGCTAAATAGGTAATTTCCCTTGACTTGAAAATTATTGTACGCCGCTAAAGATTTGGACTTGGTTAAACGTATAACCGGACAGAATAAAATATTTTTCTAACTTTAAAAGAGTGTCCAATTTTGGACAATTAAAACCAGTAATTTTTTTCATTTTTTTACAAACAGTAAAAGAGGTGATGAAGCTTTCTGCCATAGTCCAAAATACTGGGTAGTCAAAACGAGTAATCAACAAGAAACCTTGTCTGGCTTGACTCACTGAGTTTTCCAAGTGACACGAGTAATGTCTCTTTTGACCAACAATTTTTCTTTTGAAGGTAAACCAACGATATTTATCTTTATTCTTTTTTTTTTCTTCACTTTAGTCATCTGATCATGCGGCTGTGAACCAGCAATGCACGACTATCTAGAATCTATTATTTGACTTTTCTGTACAGGCTGTGATCTTGACAAGTGTCCGATAAGGTGGTGATATCGACGTACATCCGTATGCATAGTACACCACCGTGTGATTTTATGGTAATAGGTGGGGTCCAGAGGACTGAGATTGATGACACCAGGGTACAACTGGATGTTCTGAATCGTTACTATCGAACAAGATCCCATGGGATCATCTTGTCCCCACGTTAACTGCACAAGATAGTATGGTATCGTACGGGTATGCCGGTGTCGCACTCTACTTGCCACGTGGCAAATCACAAAATGATGGACGGTCACTAAACAAAATATGTAATAGTATTAATTAAATTATATTTAAATTTTCGTCATAAGATTATAAAATAAAAGGCACATATGATTATATGTAATCGACCCTTTTATGGTTAAGTTGAGCCACCTCTCCACTAAGGCTTGGGATCTGAAATAAAAACAAATGGATGATCCTATGATGCGAAACTATTCGACGTATTTTTACTCAGCTTCTGATTTGATTCGTTTGATGTGATGGAAATCTTCCAAACATAACTATATACTGCAGTTGATTTTCATCCATGCAGTAATAATATTAACGTCGAGCACTCATGGACTCTGGAGAAAATTGGGAATACGTGAAAATCGAGAATGGGAGAGGTCGGCATGGGATGGCATACACGTGATGCTGAAGTCAATGCATGTATGGGTGGTGGGCACCATTAATGCTATATGTATTCATATTATTATTTTATGATTCTGCTATCACTTCTTTTAATGATTTTATGTATTGCAACTTTATTCATAAATACAAGTAAATCTTCAGAGTTCAGAGACTGCTATGCTTTGCCCTCAGCTTTTTAGAAACACGTTGAGTTTTCCCTTCTCTATGTTTTCGACCAACATTAACCTCTAATCTAAATATTTTGTATTAAATTAAAGAAAATCCAGTTTTTAAAATATGATATGTTTTTCATCAACCATTTAGTATATTGGTCAAACATTTTATAAAAAAAAAACTTGTAATTTAATGTTAAAATTGCAACTTGTTAAAAATAAAACACGTAAAAAGAACAAATTAATAGAATTTAACTTAAAATAATATAATATTCTCCAAACAAATATTATTTTCAAATGAATCAAACAAAATTAATGTAAAATTCTAATAATATGTCATGTAATGATAGTATACAATCATTGTTTTGAGTTCAAACTTTAAATCGCTTTGGCACCAAGATTTGTCTCCCTTCGCCAAAACCCCATTTTTGGAATTTTATTATTTTTTTAAAGAAAATTGTTGTTAAAGCTTCCAACTAACCCCACAATTATTGAGTTAGATTTAAGGTTTGCTTATGTCTCAAACTTGTCAAATCAATCTTAACTTGTGTGTTAAGCTTCCGACCCTTCAGCAAATATCATATTTGCCTCATTTTATGTCTTTAAGCAAGTTTTCGTACCCAACCGTTTTAGTTATCTTCTCCTTTCCATTACTCTTTGTAGTTTTAGATTGCATCACCCAACTAGCGACACTTGTATGGTAAGTTTTAGTATTTTTGTTTTAAAAGTAAATGTTAGTTAATTACCACTTTGTTTCGAATTAGGTTTCCCACTAAAGATGTTAAAATCTTGAACTTTAATCCAAAGTAAAGACAAAATTTTAGAAGTTATATATATATATATATATATTGGTTACAAATTAATTTATGTAATTATTTATAAATTATACATTTTAATAAATTTAATATTCGAAAAACTTTCTTTGGTTTCAAATATAAGTTTTTTAAAAATAAAATCAATTTAACATTTCCGAAAATAAAATGATAAAAAATCATCTTGACCTAAACTCGGGAAAAATCTTTTAATATTTTCTCCAGTTCGATATGAATTTAAATTAAAACAAATGTAAATTTAATCCTCAAAAATAATGTTTTTAATAATTCATACAATGCGTCTGCTTTGGGCCACAGTCTGGCATATTGGTGTGGAAGATTTTGGTTTGGGCGTTTCATTGGCACAGGGGGTTTATGTTCGGCCTTATTGGTATGATCCTCAATTTGTAATTATTAACGTCAAAAGACTTGATAAGCTTAGTCAATGGCATCTGTTATACAGATCAATTATTGGTCAACTCGGAGTCAATTCTTCTGTCCATTAAAATTAGATATAATGCAACAAAATACTTGTAATATTATTTGATAATAGTATTACTTTGATCCCTATTTTTCTTTTAAAATATATTAACTCCTTTTTTTTAGAACAAAAAGATCCTCTTTTTTTTTTCGAAACAAAAATATCCTCTGTAGATAGGAACCGATATTCAACTAACGCACGTATAAATATGAAGTGATAAGTTTACGTGACATCACATGTTGGAACAAAAATATCAAATATGCAAAGGTGATGACGTAGTAAAGTGCCGCGTCAGAAAAAAAAATGAAATTTTCAAATTCTTTGGGTTAAATATGAAGTTTTAAAATGTGTATTTGCTAGGTATTTGAAACTCCATTTCCTCGCGCTTTTCATATCTACTCTGAAACCTTCAATATTTATTGGGCTCAACAAAACACCATCGATTCCAAAACCCACAAAAGAATAACCGAACGATCGAGAAAAAAATGAAAAATGCCACAAAGATAGAATTATTCTTATTAAAAAAACAATGAGAAAAAAATCGGTAGTCGAAAACCAGCATAAAAACCGATGTTGTTTTTACCGGAAATATTAATTTCACTATCAAATTTTCGGTAGAACATTTAAGGTAGTTTTCAATATTTTAAATATTGCTTTACTGAAAATGATAACATCTTTGGTAGCCCTCAATATTAACATCTTCAAGTAGCTTCTTGTTTTTATCATGCATCTGTTTTTATCTACAATCGGGTTGTATGCTTTGAGTTCTATCGGATAGTGTTACCTGGATAGGAACACAGTCGTATTCATTTACCCTGCTGTTTTTATTTAATCTAATAAATCTTGAGATACTCTTTTTATCCTTCTGCTTTTTGTTGAAATGCCCTTGGTATTTCAGCAATTATGAAGGGGTTTTAATGACCTCCAATTCTTATAAAAAAGAAGAAGAAAAAAAGAAAAAGAAAATAAGGAAGTACTTTTCTGTTGCAGACGGAAAATGCTGCTATTGAGAAAGAGAAATACTGTTTATACCAGGTCAACTAATGGATTTTCTATTCGCAAATCAAAGGTGTTAAGTGTTGGTGGTTCTAGTTTGAAATGGTCAAAATCTATTGAAAAGAATTCAAGGAAAGCTAATGAGGTAAGGAGCATCATGTACTGGTTGGCCAAGCTCTTCTTTTGTATGCACTTTAAAACTGGACTGATTGAATTCAGAATTAAAGTAGCTTTTTTTTGTTATGCTTCTTTTCAATAGGAAGCTACACTAGCAGTTGCTGCAGCAGACAGAAAGAAAAGAGAACAAAATGGCAGAATTTTCGGGTAAGGCAAAAATGGTCCCTCTTGCCATAAGGTTCTTACTGGTACAGAAGTTCGGCGAGGTAGGTGAATTAGCAAACCTGCTCACATGACAAAGTAGTGTCATGCTACTTTATATAATGTGCATGACATATGATTTTGAAAAGAATGCTTCAATGATATGTTTCACTTATATATATTATACTTTAGGAGAACGAATATTCCGCATTGGCTCAGTGCGCTACAAAATGGATTCTTCGAGGCGTTCCCTTCAGAGAATAACAGGTTACTCTCAATTTATCTCATGGTTAATTTTAGTCTCAAACTCAAACTATGTGCAGAGGTAACCCTATTAGGGAGTGAACTCATAATGGACAGCTGCCACTTGAAAAGGATACTTTTTTTTATCTATAATTGCTCATTGGAAACATTCTTATGAATCAGTTTCGGGCATTGAGTTGCCTTGTTTGACTGATAGATCTGTTGGTGCTTGCTTCATCACATGGGACTAGCAATTTATTTTTCTTTTTGGCGTTTTAGAATCTTTTTTATTGAAACAAACAAGGTTGTTTCATAACTTTCTAGTTTCTGATCAGTACCTACTGTCTGCACTGAATTGGATGCTCCTTTTGCCTTTTGATAAATTTTCATGCTGCTTCTAACTCTACTTACTTTCTGTCCAGATGATGCATCATCATGCTCTGATAGTCAGCATTCAGAAAACAGTGCCAAAAAATCTCTTGTCCCGAGGAGATTAGTGATTGGGAATGATGAGTATGTACATACTCATCATGTTAATATTACCATATAAAATTCTACTTGATGGAATTACTACAATATATAAATCTAAATGAACCTGATATCTGCAGGTATGTTCGAATTGGTAATGGCAACCAGCTCATTAGAGATCCAAAAAAGCGCACACGTGTTTTGGAAAGTAAGAAAGTTCGGTGGAGTTTGCACACCGCCAGGTTACGATTGGTGAAAAAGCGGAAGTACTGTCAATTTTTCACAAGATTTAAAATGCAACAAAGATGATGGAAAGTGTCCCTATATTCGGCAAAACTGCCACGATAATGTTTAAGAGAAACTTTTATTCCCAAGATAATGAAGTCATGATATTATTTCCCACAATGGAGTGATTGCCATAGGAAATATGGAAAGCTCGGCGTCTTTAGATTTGATGGAGCTCTCGTCGTCTTCAACTTGGATATCAGATGTGCATGGAAGCGTGGATCTCTCGGCGTCTTTGCATGGAAGGTTGGATATCTCGGCGTCTTTAACGCAATTTCATGCATGGTAGATATGTGGGAGATGTGCATGTATGATTGATCTCTCGGCGTCTTCAGTTGGATTCTTCATAGGAACTCTCGGCGTCTTCAGTTGGATTCTTCATAGGAAATCTCGGCGTCTTCAGTGCTGTGCATGGGACTGGACGTGAGAAATCACGGGTTCTGCAGGGAGAAAGCACAGAAATCACGGGTTGAGCAGGGGCTGCACGTCTGCATATGGGGGTCCTGCACGTCTGCATGTGGGGGGCATGCAATTGTTGGATTTCTCGGCGTCTTCTTCACATTTAGGTAAGGATTTCTCGGCGTTTTCGTGGAAATCTCGGCGTCTTCTTAACAAATAAATCCAATAATGCATGCATGGATGAGTTACGAATGTGTTTATAAGAGACTGCTCGGGGCTGAGGCAATTCACAATTACAGAAGCAGTGAGAGCCTGAGAGGGAGATCGATCAGCAGCAAGATCACAAAGCATAGCCTGAGGTAATTTAAACTCAAGCCCTAGATCTCATTTGATTCTTGTTTAAAGGTTTAAGGTTTCATATTGATCTCATAATTTTAGTTTCATAAGTTTATTAATTTTGTGATTATATGTTGTTACACTCTGAAATAATAATTTATAGTTGTACATAATTTGAAATAAGGTTGGGACCATTTTGGAACATTGTAAAGTTTTAGGGACCGTTTTGTAAATTTAAGGAATTTAAGGAATAAGAGTAATTATTAAAAGTGCTATACTATGCGGAATTAGTATTAGTATGCTTAATTGGTTAAATTTGAAAGAATTTAAAATTAGGATTAAATTGCTAAGTTTGAAAATGTTGAGAAACAAATAGTAATTAGGGATCGTTTGTAAAATTTGAGGAATTTAAGGAATTAGAGTAAATTATAAAAAGTTGGTATACTATGCTTGAATTAGTATTAATATTGGTTAAATTTGAAAGAATTTATAAATTTAGTGATTAAATTGCAAAGTTGAAATGTTGAGAAGCAAATAGTAATTAGGGATCATTTTATATTTGATGTTTATTTTTTAAAGTAGATAACATGCAATTGATTATTTGAATAAAACAATGTAATAATGAGTGTATAATTTTTTTTTGTCTAGATTTGTGAAACATGGCAGAAGAAAATGTTCTTTTGAGGCTAGATGGTCGACACATTTCGAGTAATATGATCGACTTATTTTTTTATTTGAGAACGTGTATTAATTCTATTACAATGATTAATAAATTGCAGGATGACGAACAACGAGTCCTTCGTCCTCGACTTATCAACTGTGAGATGCCAGATCAACGTATTGTGATAATTTGAAAACAGTGGGTTTTTATGATGTTGCTTTTGTAAGAGAATTCGGTGATCCCGGTTTGATAAGTGCATTAATGAAAGGTGGAGACCAGAAACTCATACTTTTCATCTTCCATGTGGTGAATGTACGATCACTTTGGAGGATGTGGCTTTACAATAGGGGTTCCTACAAATGGAATGGCAGTGGTGGAAATACAGATCTGACATGTTTGCAATATGTGAGCGTTACCTGGGAAGGTACCAGACAAAGATATAGCAAAAGGGTCCACGGCTGAGATATCCTGGTTGGCAAAATGAGTTTAAGCTCGATCCACAATGTAGTGAGCGAGACTTATATATGCAACTCGAGCATATATATTACGTTTGATCGGCGGAATCTTGATGCCAGATAAATCCATAATCTTGTCCATATACAATACTTCCGTTTTGAAGAACTTCTTTATGACCCGTCAGTATAGTGGGGATCAGCAATATTGGCATTCTTGTATCACGAGATGTGCAAGGCATCATTAATTGTAATAATGCGTATACGACTGAAATCAGTGGATGCACGATGTTATTACAATCGTGGGCGTGGTACGAATTCCATGGTTAACACCGATTAGCCGAACTGCAGTTGATTTTCCTCTTGCCGGAAGGTAATTTTATTGATTTAAAATATTTATCTTTAATTAAATAAAGAATATTTGTAAATGAAAAATAATTACAGAATTATTTGATTGGTATACAGATGGAGGCATAAAATAGAAAGAACGGGGTGGTGCACAACAACGTGAAAGAGTTTAGGTTAAGATGACATCAAATGCAAAGTGAGGATATATAAAAATAAGTGAATTTATTTTTTATTATGTTATATTATAATATTGGTTATTTATTAATTTGTTGATTTTTATAATTATTTAATTAATAACTAACTAATTTTATTTATAGTTATTGGAGGCCGTACGATGATCAAGAATTATGTCGTGCGTACCGCAACATGTCTGGGAGGGTTGTGAATATTGTGTGCTGTTACACCATTGATCCATTTCAGTTTTGGAGTTCCAATTTGCCGATAGAGTGTTGAGGCAGTTCGGCTTCCACAACATATTCCAATCATTCCAGAGATCATGATGCTCCTCGATTAGATGGGCGGGGTAGGGTCGGTGAGGATTGGTCGGTGAGACATGCTAACCATATCAATCATTGGAACAACAGGGGTTCATACTTGCCAACGCTCACTCCCATACAAGCAGATGACTTTGACTTCAAGAGTTCGGATTACCTGAATTATTTTGGGAACATGGAAAGCCGTTCTTGACAACGATCAGAGAAAGACGATAATTTATAGAGTATACGAAAAAATTTGGTAAACCCGAGAAACCAGAAGGTTGGTAAACCCGAGAAACCAGAAGGACTGGGAGGGGAGTGGGGAGTGGGAGTGGGAGTAGGAGTTCTTCTCACCGTGGAGCAGAACAAGAGACAATGGATAATATCCACCAGAATCTTTTGATCACACAAGATCATTTAGTCAAGTTAGTGATTCTGGTGTTACGCCCTACATCCTCAGCATGTTCAATCATCACTCATGTTCCCTCCTATGTTTGGGGCAACAAATGATTTTGATCAGATGACATCTATGATGACAAGTACGAGTGTTTGTCCTCAGATGAGAGAGCATAGTGGTGGTGGGCATGTATTTACAACACCAGAACCTATGCCCTCGATGAATGAGCAGGTTGGTTATGCTGAACAAATCATGAACAAGTGCAACGACAACAACGAAACCGACGTGGGCCTCGACTTTATTACTCAACAACACCCGACACCGAAAGAGTTGTAATCCTTATTTTAATTATTTGTATCAAATTAAGTAATTGAATCGAATATATTTACTATTATTATATCAGTAAATATAAATCTTAAAGTCAAGTGATTATTATTAAATCAAAAATTAATCATTAAATTAAGTAATTATTATTAAATTATTAAATCATTAATTAATTATTATTAAATCATTAAATCATAATCAAATCATTAAATCATTAAAGTAATTATTATTAAAGCATTAAAGTTAAATCATTAAAGTAATTATTATTAAATCATTAAAGTAATTATTATTAAAGCATTAAAGTAATTATTATTAAAGCATTAAAGTTAAATCATTAAATCATTAAAATTAAATCATTAAAGTAATTATTATTAAATCATTAAAATTAAATCATTAAAGTAATTATTATTAAATTATTAAAATAATCATTATTAAATCATTAAAGTTAAATTTATTATTAAATCATTAAAGTTAAATAATTAAATTTAAATAATTATTATTAAATATGTACTCGAGTAATTGAATCGCATATAATATAAAATTTATAAAATAAGATTACTGCTGAGGTCTATACTGTGGAAGGTTTGGACAATTTCTTTTTGAATGCCCTTCACCTCT